CTATGGTCACATTATCCTTCCTACAGTCATGCTCCTCCCCGACTATGGAATCTGAAGTCAGCCAATGAGAGGCCTGGCTCAGCAAAGATAACACAGAAAGTCTTCTGCCAACATCGAGGAATATCCATATGGCACAGCGCAGTATTGCATTCCAGCCAGTTCTCCACTAGCTGGGTTAATATAAGAAGGCTCCACAATGGTAGGATTTGGTAGAGAGGAGGGTCTAGGTATTGCAGAAGGATGGTGAGAACAAAGGAGATGAAGTCTGTTCTCTGTTGGATGGGAAGTTGCAAGAAGTAGGGCCTGCCTAGAGCAGATGGTTTGAGGTGTGAGCAGTAGGGTTGGTTTAACATGGAGTAAACTCATATGGAAAGGAGCCTTAAAGGCCAGCCAATAAGAGGTAGGAGCCATCAAACCTGGATTCTCTTCCAGACTCCTAACAAGCAGTAGCATGACTTAGTTTCAGCCTAAAGTGTATCTGTGTGTGTTTGGCGGGCGGTGTATGGGGGGGGGGGGACCTCCTTCCCCTTTTCTTCTCTGTGTATTGTGTGTGGAGATTATGAGAAGTCATCATTGTGAGGATAGTTTCTCTACATCCTGGCCCCTTTGCCAACACTCCTGGCCAAAATGGAACATGTCTTCAAGGATACAGGGAAAGTAGGAGGATCCACTCTTTCCCTCCTTCCTCTCTTGTGGCCAAAACTGACTCAATGCTCATTAATTAAGCTTCCTCCCTCAGCACAAAGGAAGATGGTGTTTCACAGCCTCCCTCGAAGTTAGAATCATGAACAGGATTATGGTCGAACAGCCAGTACAGCCCTGGCCCCTAAAACATGCAGTCTAGCCTTCTATTCATTCTCCCCTCCTAATTTATGAGGCTGGAAATAAAGGACTTCAAGTGGTGGAGACACATGATGGCAAGAATCTGCTTCCCTGCTCAGAGAGGAGCCACCAGACCTGCCCCAGACCACGGCAAGGCAGGGAAGAAACATAAGCTTGGTTAAGCCACTGAGATGTCAGCTTATTCATTACTGCAGGCAGCCTAGTCGACATATCTTGGCGTGGCTATCCTCGCCCCAACCCCCATTCCCTGCCCTCTTGTTTCCCTTTCTTCTGCCCACTTCCCACTACCCCCTTGGCCTCATCCATTTTTTGTGCAACAAAGTATTACAGCTCTAGATGTGGGGATAAAGAACCACAAAGGAGACACTTCCGCCTTTTTCTTCCTCGCCCACACTATTGCAATGCCCTCCACAACCTCGGCTGGTCTCTCTTCCTGGAATGTTCCTCTTCCAGATGTTTGCTCAGGTGGCCTTTCCTAGGCTGAAATGACCTTTTCTTAAAGAGCTTGAGGCCACCTGCTCAACAACTTCCCATCACAACACTCTCCTGTACTGACTTTAGAGTGTGTATCAATTCATGAAATTATCTTATTTGTCTCCTTCTAGGGTGTCATCTCCATGAGAACCAGGTCTAGGTTTTGTATATTGCTGTTTCTTTAGTGCCAGAACATGCCCACACCTTCTCAATAACTAAGTGTGGAATGAATGAATGAATGAATGAATGAATGAGAGGGTATAAAGATTCACACCTCCAGGTCATCTAGTCTCACTTCCTTTACAGATGACGAAATGGGGCCCTTTTCCCTAAAAAAGAGGAAACAGAAAAGCAGTTACTGCAACCCTACCGTGCTTGCTTCACGGCTGCTTTTGGAGTGCTGAACTTGGATATGATTTATTGAAATGAAAACTCTGGGGGAATTGTTTCAGAGGGACCCATAAAACAAATGTCATTTTCACCTGGAGAAGTCACCCAACCTTCTAACCAATTTCAAATATAGTTCTTTAATGCACATTTGACAAATTTGAAATCTCTTACCCAAAGCCCTTTATCATCTAATGTGTGCCTGCCCTGCTCCGCAGTTTAAGTTACAGCTTTTTAAGGGTGTAAAACATTTCTATAAAATCATCAAAATACCTTAAACCAAACTGCCTATAAGAAATTGATGAGAGTCAAGCATTGACTCAACCTCTGAAAACATCAACCTTGCCATTGGCACCATGGGCACATCTAATAAAAACAGCTAAGGAGGTATAATGAATACCTAATGAACCATTTTGTATGTCTATGTGGTCCCTCGAATTGAGAATAAATCAATGAGCCTTACAAAATGCATATTTTAGTGGTACATTCATAAACAATAATCTTGTTTTTCTGTCATGACTCGAGTGTCATTCTTTTTATAACACAACTGAAGATTTAATAATTTATTTTATATATACATCACCCAGAGCTTAAAGGGGGTGGGCAAGCTAGTGTTTGATTTATAAAAGGTCTTTGTGTGTGGAAGCTATGTGGATCATAAAGGTAAAACACAGCACTCAAGATCTAGTAGTGAACACAGGGCATGTGAATAACAACTGTAAACAAAGTTTAGAAACTTCCAGGAATGCAATACATGGTAGCCCAGACTGAGTGCAGTGGGCTAAATGAAGGAAAACAGGCAATGTCGCTGAGCCCATGCTGGTCCTCCTGGCCAGCTCAGCCAGAGGCAGTGAGCCTCACTGGCCTGGGCAGTGGTGTGGTGTGTGCCCCCGCAGACCTCCCCTATGACCCGGCCAAAGGGTTCAGCTGGGTTGTCCCACCCGCTTCCTCGCTGACAATGGGTGAGCTGCTTCCCCTCCTGCTGGCATGGGCTCAAACCCTATGACCCAAAACTGCCTCTCTACCTCAGCAACTTCCCTTCCAGAGGCCAAATATAACCATCCCTTTCCCAACTCACAAAAATTCCAGTCAGACGCTGTGTGCAGTGACAGCCGGCCAAAGAGCATCTCACCAGCCCAGCCCACAGCCAAAAATAACTGGGTTAGTATGGGCTGGAGAGCCTTTTTTTTTTTTTTCCAATGTTGGGACTTTGTTTGGAGTTATTTTTGTTTTGGTTTTGTCATTTGGAAGTAAACAGAGTAACTGAAGAAGTCGCTATATCAACATCCCACATCAGGCTCATGGATTTAGCTCTAGCTTGGGGGGGACGGGTCATGACTACAAAAGTATTCATCTTTTAAATCTCTCCAGTCACCTACACAAAGGGAGAGTCTAGCAAGTGCATCTCATCCCCACTCTATCCAGCAATGCCTCCTGCCCGGCCATGGTCACACTGAAGCCCACCACCAGGCTGCATTTTCTCCTCAGCCCAGCTGGAGTGGGTGGAGTAACTAGAAGAAGCTCATCTGTGGGGATGAGTGGGGTCCCTTCCATGTTTATACCCATGATGCATCTGGGCAGCAGACAGACCCTGGGCCCCAGAGCTGTCAGTTCAGTGCCCTCCACAAGTACTAAAATGACTTAAATTATTCATTTCCTTTTTTTAAGCACAGTGTTCAACAACAACCAAGCCCACTTTTGATCTACTTCCTGACACACACAGCTCATGTCAACCAGGTTCTTTTGCTGGCCAATTGACACATCTTGTTAAATCTTAGCTAGCATGTGATGCTAAATTGCAGCATGCTAAAGAGATCCAGACTGGGAGGGGTGATTGTCTTCTCCATGCCCTATTTCCAAATGCAATGAATAATAAGCAATCGTGCAAAACTATAAGCTTCAATTGTGGGAACATCTTTGTACTTTTGTTCTTCCAAGGCAGAATGTTTTCTGGCATTATGTGTCTATCTGGAGAAAAAAATACTCCCTCACTTTCTCCTTGTGCATGCCTATCACACAGACACATCTCATTTCTTGTCATATTGTATGCTGTCCCAGGACCAATAAATAATTTATGCATTTAATGCATTTGTCAGCTCTTGTGTTTGTGTCTATGTACATATACACATCCTATGTGCTAGTGTCAAAGATGTCTTTCTTTCCTTTTCATTGAATTTATTGGAATGACTAGTTAATAATATTATATAGGTTTCAGGTGTACAATTCCATAATACATCATCTGTATATAGTATTGTGTTCACCACCCCAAGTCAAAGATGTCTTCTATATTAATAGAAAGCAAGCAACCTCTTGGATGATTCTCCACCATGAAATTAACTTTGTATCTTATCCATCAAACAAGTGGAAAGGGATAATAGGTCCCTGTTCTTTACAAAAAACTAAGCACTAGTCGATACCAGAAAAGGAGTCATGTTAAGCATTTCACATTACATATTTCCTAAAATTGCTCCCCTTCCTTTATTCTTTTCCTAAGGAAGGTCTTAATTGCTTCAGGGCCACTTAGGTTGTAGAGGGAATATGGTTCCTACATTTCAACTTGTTCTATTTAGATTGCCTTTCCTTGGACCACTTATCGTGCTTGTCATCAAGAACTGCCTCTGAGCACCTGGCAGTGCCAAGTGTGGTACCAGGTGTGTGTGTTGGCACTCCTCACCTCCACTGCTGTCCACAGGCTCCAACTTGGATTTAACCATGGTCATCATTCACACCCTCGTGGCAGCAGCATCTTGAGGTGCTACCAGCATGATGAGAAGCAACAAGACAAGGATGAGCATCAGGGCAGCAGCTGCTGTGAGGTAAAGTCAGGTGACTGCATCTGCCTCACAGTTGTCTTTCTGTTCCTGCTCCCTCTCTTCACCCACTTTCCTCCTTTGGAAGGCTTTTGTGTTTCAGTGATGCCACGAAAGAATTCCCAGATTAATTCAATCTTAAAGGAAGGGATCTCAAAACACCTAGCTCCTTTGAAAGATGAGGAAAGGAAAGCCCTGAGGGGGCAAGCTTCTTGGCCAAGCTCACCAAGTGGTTGTTGAGAGAGCAATGACTGGAATCAAGTAATTAAACCCACTTTCCAATGCTCTTTCCTCTATATCAGTGGCTTTTCAACATCTGTTAGCACAATCCATAGCATGAAACAAATTTTATACCATGACCCACAATGTCTACACATATAGGCAACTAGCACGAAAGTCTCACAATACAATACTTGTCTTTACTGTATGTGATATACCCTCTGATATTTTCTATTGTAGTATATTCATTTAAAAATATTCTGGAAATTGCTTGCCAGCATGTGCACTAAAATTGGAACAATACAGAGAAGATTAACATGGCCTCTACACAAGGACAACATGCACATTTTCCCCATATATTTTGTATATTTACCAAATGTTCCTTTTCTTTCCAGGGATAATATTTATAGGTATGCAGTCAAATGATTTGCATTTTTTTCTAATTAGATACATCGACTGAATGTCTACGAATGTAGGAGTTTGAATTAGATAAGGGGGTGAGGGAGTCCCTTCCAGCTCTAACCTGCCATGTGCCTAATCAGGAATGATCTTAATGTCTGATATGTCTTTAATTCTGAAATGCAGAATGGCTTGGTAGAGAGAACGCTGGGTCTAGCCCTGGCTCTGCAATCTTCGAAGTGTGTAGCTTTGGGTGAGTTTTCTCTGGGTTCTGTTATCTCATCTGCAAGATCAAGCTGTTGCTAATTGACAGAGTTCTGAGAATTGAACGAAATGATGCAAATGAATGCAATAAAAAGCTCTATACACAAGACTTGTCCTGGAACAGCAATGGTCTTAAATTCTCACATTTCAGAGAAATATGGTGTCTCAAGATGTTTCTGGATTCTCATCAAAACACCTGCATAATGTATTATGAATAAATTTGGTATAATAAAGGAAAACTATACCCTGGAACTGACTCATTTTTAAATGTTTTGCAGGTGTTTGGAGAGGAGGGGCTGACCGTAAATCTTGAAGATGTTCAGCCTCAAAAAGGAGAGGTCATTGAGACCAAAGATGACTCTATGCTCTTGAAAGAGAAAGGTTAGGAGTCACAAATTGAAACCCCTATTTAAGAAAGGCAGCTATTAGTGAGGATGAAGCAGAAGAATTGAATGAACATATGGTTAAACATTCATATGCAAGAGCCATGCAGAAGCTGGTGGGACAACTGAGGCAGAGAGAATGAAAAGGAGTCCAAGGTGCACTCAATAGGCTCCAATTTCTTTTGAAGAAGGCATCTTTCTAGGTGGTTAGGATTGGTTTCAGTGTGTTCCAGCTTTAGACTCACAAAATCCAACTAATAAAAATGAAAAAAAATTGACACAGAAATTATTTTTGAAAATATTCAAAATGTCTGCAATGACCTTGCCAAGAATGACAGTGAGAAGGATCCTTGACCACAGAGAACATCAGGCAAAGCCACTCAGGGGTTGGTTGAGGTTTGTGGTGAGGGTGGAAAGGGCATCACTGGCACCAGGAAGGAGGGAAGGAGGCTGCTTCATTGCTGCTGCCACTGGGTGAAACGGAGCAGAAGTTGTCACAAGGATCCTGAAGAGGAGGAGGACGCTGGCAGAGGGGGTGGAGGTGGCATTTCTAACTCCTAAAATAGTGCATTATCACTATTAATGAACTGCTACAGGAAGCTCAGTGCTGTGTTTCTCACCAATAACCTTAGAAACCACTTGGGGGAAAAAAGACTTAAGAAAAGGTTATGGGTATGTGTTATAGGTTTTAAGTGACAAGATACACAATGGTTTATGGCTGTCACTGTACATGCCCACAGATAACATATTTTGTGTTTTTGAATAAAAATATCTGTATGTTCCTTTAAAAGATTTCCAGCTATGCTTACAAAGTTTATTCCACTACCCACCAAAAATACCATGTTGGAGGACAGCCCACCCCAAGTGCGGAAGGGCAAGCCTTGAGCACAGGCCGTATTCCCTCTCCTCCCACGTGCACACCTCCAGCCTGCTCTCATCTTCTCCTCTGACACCCACTCGCACTGTACCCTCATTCCAGAGCCTTTTCAGTGCCTTCTGGAGCCTCTGTTCCACAACGAGTAACCCCCCCTCAACTTTAGCCAGGGGGTGGGGTGGGGTCCCTTCTCTCCCTGTTTCCTTTGAGCCTCTCTTCACCCTCATCCAGGCAATGCCCATCCTTCCCATCCATCCACTCCTCCCAAACCCCCTGGGCTGAAGAGAGAAGATCTGTGTCCTACTTACCTTTCAAAGATACCATACTCTTCTACTTTCATGTGGATGCCTCTTTCTCTTCCTATGACACCTGCTTGCCCACCACCACCCCAGGACCTCCTATTGGCATTTTGGTTGCTTACCATCTTAGTTCTATCCTAGAGCTTGTCATCAACTCACACACTTTCATATCCATGTGGACAACACATCCAGTGCACTGGCCCTCACTCCCCTCCATCCCCTCCAGTCTCCCGTCACAAGTTTGACTTTGGAATCACCTAGCTTTGTCTCACCTGTGCTATTCGCCCTGCTCTCTGGTCACTTCCTCCTCTCCTGAGACCTTGTTCTCATAAATACACTAAACCCAACTTTTAATCACCTTGAGCCCTTTCATCTCTCATTCTTTCCATTTCTCCAAGCTTCCTCGTGATTTTGCTTCTGTCCCTTTCCACCTAGACCCTAGAGCCCAGAACTTCAACTACTCCTTGACAATATTCTAAACCAATGGTCTATAAGTTTATTTCATAGTGCACAGCCAACAATGAAAAAAAGAGAAATAACTGAGCACATACCTCTGACATTCATTCATTCATTCATTCATTCATCGCATAAATTTTACTCCTGGGCTGACTTTTTCATTTTAAAACATACCACAAAAATATACTAGCAATAGTATAAATAACAAGATCTTAAAAGTAAGAGCTTCAGTATTCTCTGCCCATCCCCAGTGGATTATCTTACCCAGCCCTTAGAGGTATGCAGACCACAGATTGGGAACCATGGCCCTCAGCCTTGTCACTCTCTTTTCCCTCTGTCACATTCACCCTGCGAACTCAACCCTGAATTCTTCTACCAACCTGGAGCCCATCTAGCCTTAAGAGTCCTCTTCTCTCCCGGGTGGCTGCATGATGCTGGGGGACCAGCTGGATCCCAGGTAGCCTTCCTGGACTTACCCTTTCTCCTGAGGACAATGTCTCTGATAGCCTCAAGGGGCAAAGTCAAGTGGACAGGCAAGAAATTTTCCTTCATCTTCGTATCACCAGCATCTAGCACAGTGCTAGACACTTGCATGTGAGCCACGAGTGTTTATTACATTGAATTGTATATACACATGGCATCTCTATCGCTCTAGCTGCATGGTTGTAAAGGCATGAAGAGCACATAGAGAAAGCCCAGTGGGTCAAGAGTCCCAGCTGGGCCAGTGCTTAGTTCTGAGGCCATGTGAGAATCACCTGTTCTCCCATCACCTGTCTGCCCACTGTGACCCAAACAATCAGCTGGACCTTCAGAAGCCACACTCCACAGAGGACCCCAGCTTGAATGAGATCATGTGTGCCTGAGGCAGCTTAATTAAAGCCATTTCACACCTTGACTGTTCTAGGGGGTTGCTATGGAGGCAGGAAACAGGGCCACTCCAGACAATCTACTCTTTACCCAACTGCTGGAAGCAGCCCACGGTCAGGGCACCTCCTAACCCCCTCACTGACGTCTGCATCTTTAGCGACCAGAGGGAAGAGACAGGCAGGGGAGTGAGCAGCCTGGGGTTAGGCACTGTTGCCTGGGTAAGCATGCAGGAGGGTGGCCCAACTTCCGTCTCAGGCCAGGAAGGAATCTTTTGTAATCTGCACCTGCCGTGCCCCTGCTCACCACCTGGAGATGCATCCCCAGGTGAGCAGAGTGTGCAGGACACATGGCAGCTACAGCACTTTCTCAGGGGGAAAGATGATTTGGGCACAATTCCCTTGCCTCCTGACAGTTCTTTCGTCTTCTCTTCCTGGTAGAGTATTTCATAACCAGTGCTCCATGGCTAACCCCCGACATCAGACTCACTTATGGGTTTATTAAAAATGCAAATTAAATAAGAAATTCTGGAACTGGAGCCAGGACCTGCACTTAAACATTGTTTTCTCCGTTAGAGTTTGAGAACCACTGAAAACCAGTTACTTCTCTTCTGCCCTTCCAGGTATCCTTGATCCTCAGCCCCCTCCATCTCTCCCTCTGTCCCTCCACCCCCCAGCATCACAGCATCCACATGGAGGGACCAGAGCAGGAGTAAGGCCCACTGGGCTTTCACCTCCCTGCACTGACCTCCCCCTCCTTACAACCTATTGTGCCTTCATCTGTGACTTCTCCTCACAGGGTTCCTGGAGGCCCCACTTAATTTAATGTGGCCTGCTTACCCAAAAAGTATACCTGGCAAGCGGGGACTTACTACGCTGAACTCAAAGTTGCCAGAGGAAGCCCGGTAAATCAGGGAGCTGAGATTTGACCTAAGGTTGATCTGTTTTTGGCCAAAGCCACCATCTACCAATGGGTCTCCACTAATAGGCTTGCAAAGATGGAAATCTTAATCAGTGCCAAACCAGGGTTATAAAAGGTAGAAATGTTTGCCACTTACTTCACTCCCGGGGATGGGGTGTGAGTTGGAGATGACTAGGACCATGAAGCACTCTAAACCCGAAGAAAATTCTCTGAGCCATTCTTCCCCTCCCAGATTTCCGTGGCACCAGTCCCCGTGCAGCTCTGACACTGAGCTATTTTTGTAAGTGAACAAGTCAAGCTGTTGTTATCTCTGCTGTGAATCAAGGATAAAAGGAAAAGGTGAGAGGGAGACAGAGGGCATGAGAGAGAAGAAATGGAGGTGAGATGCAGAAAGGCAAGAAGGACATTGGAACATTGGAAAACGAAAGAAAAAGAGCCAGGTGCCCTTCCCAGGGGCGAAGTAACCGACCAGCCATTTTGTGAATCCATAGCATCAGGTGACTCCTGGAAACCATAGTGACAGTCCTCCCTCTGGGTTCATTTGGGTTCTGGAGGGACTAGGGATGCCATGTGTCAAAGGGCTTGGTTAGTGGTAAATGTTGTCCATACAGGGTGTCCGCTCCCTATTTGTGACTAAGGAGCTACTGCCCCTTCCAGCAGCCCCACCCAAAGACTCAGGACACCACCGACCAAAAGGAAGCCTCCCCAGCAAGCACGTTTCCATCAGTAGCTGCACTTCCTCTGTCCTCTCGTCAGAGTACCGAGGGACCTGAACGAGGGTGCTATTTTAGCAAGAAACTGAAAAGCCGAGAAGAGAATACGCCTGCTCAGAACATGCTGGATATTTATTGTAGCACACAGCCCCACACAGAGCCTGCATTCTACACACGTTTTAACATATATATATTTGT